TTCGGTCAAGGTGGGCTTGTCATGGATAGTGGAGCTCCCTCTGCTGCTCCTGCAGTTGGCCTGAGGTAGCTGCAAAAAGGCCCATCTCTTCCTCTCCCCAGCCCTTGCAGTGGTCACAGTCCTTACTGGCACAGGGAGCAAGCTTGGTCTTGAATATGAAGTGCTGTCATAGACCACCAGGCCAGCCCCACTCTGTACAAGTCTCACATCCCATGCCAGCTATCTTCTATCCTTGATCCTCACTGCCTACCCTTCTGTCTTTTTGCTCCCCATATCTTTGTGTGCTCCCATCTCCACCCCTTCCCTGTATCCCACTTCCCCTCTCTACTCTTGGATCACATCATCACTAACAGGAGCAGAGTGAAACTCATGCGACACTGATGAATATCATTCTACTGCTTGGGAAACAGCAGGGTGCTGAGCCAGTGGAAGATGCACATTAGCTCATCTCTTCTCTCCCAACTGCGTAACTCAGATTGCTCTGTGGGTGGATCACCCCACTGCTCTTGTACTACACTATCCAGCAGGAGCAACAGAGTGAAAATACCTAGTCTTGCATCAGTTTTACTCCGCTGTTGCCAGCCCCAGTGTGGAAATACACAGATGGGATGGCCGCCATATTACACTGTGTTCAACCCCCTAGATACTAGCAGACAGCAAATCAAAATGGTTTAAAGCAATTGCATGTAGGATGGGCTTACAAAAAGTACATACTGCCAGACGAATCTGACTGCATTATTGGAGTTTAATTCTAGCAAGAAAAGCAATCTGATCAATGCAGCCAGAGTCTCACTGAATTCAGTAGGACACCTCATTAGCACAAGGGCCTTCTTACATGGGTCAGATTGCACCTTAACGCAGAAAGGGAAAGTGGCACATGCAATCTCATTGGATTCTGGTAAAGCATTTTATACAGTGTCAGTGGACCACAAAAATCTTACTCAAAATTCATTCAAATTAGCTTTGGTAGAACACAGTGATATGGCTTAAAACTAGGTAAAGGACCAGCAAAGGACAATAGTAAAACAGCATGTTATCAAGTCAGAGAAGGTGCCTAGTCAGATACCACAAGATACAAGTCTGGTCCTGTTGAACATCTTCACTGATGCTATGGAGAAAGAACGTTAATGAAATCTGCATGATACCAGATAGGGAGGAATTGCAAATACCAGTGAGGAGAGACAGAGGCAACCAAACAGATTAGAAAGTATCAAAGTGAGGTTTCAGTCTGGAAAAAAATGCAAATCAGTACCTCTGAGAACAAATATGAGTGTTCACTGGGAGAGAGACCCATGAAAAGCGGTCATGCTAAGAGAGACAAAGGGGGTGATAACATTAGACATGAATCTTCAATGTGTTATGGCAGAGGGAAAAAAGACCACTAGCATTTTGGGCTGCAGAGGCATTGTCTCATAGAACAGAGAAGTAACAGGCTGTGGGCGTCTTCTCACCAGGAGGAGTTTAACACAACTGGAAGAAATTCAGAACAGTAAAGTAACAGGCATCTGTGAACTGGTGGCATTGGATGATAATGAAAAGTTAAGAGAGCTAAATATGGGTAGTTTAAGAGAAATCTCAGGGTACCAGACAGTCTGCAATATATACACCAGCAAGGGAAATGAATTATTTAGGGTGGTACAATGGAGTATATAACTAGCGGTTATAAAATGAAAGTAAGAAATGGAACATTTATGCTAAGTATCAGGACAAACATCCGGACTAAGATCTATTAGCCTTTGGAATAATGCTCAAGAGGTGGAATCCCAATCTCCTGGGTCATTTTAAAGAAGAAAAGCGAAGAAATGTATTACAGGGAATAATTCTGCAGTAGCAAGGAATGGATTGGCTCCATCTAATAGGTAGCTGTGGAAAAAATTCTGACCATCTGTTCATGGGCAGCTAAGACTTTAAATGTGGTGGTTTTACAAGAAAACATGGTTGTTCCAATTATTAGGCTCTGGTCTCATTCTCATACTAGAGTACATTAAAATGAAATATTAGGGCTGTTGCGACTGTTCAAAGGCAATAATTAGAGGCATTATGCTTGTTCTGTTTTGGGCTGTGTGCCAACGTTTCTCATGTTTAGAATGCATTGCTCTCACTTGGTCTTATATGCTTTATTTTGTTGCTTTAGCATTCATTAATTAAAAATGTCACTTGCCAACAGAGCTCTAAAACTGTGCATCAGAACTGAAACCATGCAATACCCTATTTCAAGTTCAGGTAAAAATTCCCATACTTACAAAATACCTAGATACTATGATCAACAGCGCCCTGCTTTGAAATCTAGATCTGGTTGCTCAGTCTAACCTGTCATTCATGCTCTCTGCTGTTAGGCACTCACCATGACTGTGTCCATCTATGTGCTTTGTTTCCCATCTCCATTCAAAACAGTATTATTATTAGCAATGCCTAGAATCCCCAGTGAAGGATCAGGGCCCCATTGCGCTAGGCGCGCATCAGACAAACACCACAAAAGACAATCCCAGTCCCTAAAGACTTACAGTTTAGGTGCAAGGCAGGGTGTGACAGGTAGACAAGACAGACCAACAAGGTAGGAGTGGGAGAAGTACCCAAATGAGCAGAGTTTAGCTGAAGAATAGAAGTGTCAGCTCACCACTTACCTAACCAATGCCAGCTGGCAGTGATCTGTAGGTATCACAGCAGAGGTAGGTTTTAAGCAAGGATTTAAAACAGCATCTGCAGAGAATAGCTTAATGGGGATGGCAGGCAACTATAGTTGGCCATTCACTCATATCTGCCTCAAGTCCTGAAGTGAAGGCTTTCCCCTATATATTTGCGTGGGCTTAGTTTGATTGAGCTCATTGTGGAAGACTCATGCTCACCCACACCAGTGATGGAGGACAATACGAGCACTATTTCCACCAAGAGCTATCTATCTTGAAAGACAGAGGGCCCCAGTAGTTAACTGCTTCGCTAAACCTGCATGTGCCCTGTCTTTGCTATAGGTCTGATTTTGTGCAAGAGGAATTTTCAAGGCAGTCACTAATTCAGGGCCTTCACCTCTTTCCTTGCTCACTCTGTATCTGGGTGAAATGGCCTAGCCTAGCACATGGGATCCTGACTGGGGGAGGGGAGGAGGAGATCAGAAGATCCCAGCAGGTCCAGGGCTGGTCATGACCATCCTCCCTTTCTTTATGGCCAGACGAAAGGGATGTCCTCACATTCTATTTTGTTGTTACATAGCGTCACGATTTGGAAAAGGTTGAGATCACTGGTCTAAGAGACTGGAGAGCTTAGAGGAAAATATGGTGGGTATTATCAGGGCCTCATCTTGGAAAGCCCTTTCCCCAAGTAGACATGGAGAAATTTCTCTGCAAAACAGACACACAAGCAACATAAACACGAATGTTCATTTCATCACATTCCCCAACTTCCTTGCCTTTAGCAGTCAGCTTTGCACCATTCCTCAATCCCTCATCAATTTAACACTGAGGAGTGGCTCAGCATTATCAAGTGCCAAAGAAGTGCATAGAAAACTGCTTTAAAGCACCATAAGCGGTCAGAAGCAGCGCTTGGTTCTCGCCACAGTGCTGGCACTTGTTGCTTAGAGGTAGAGCTAAAGGTAAAGGGATAAAGGTTGAGGATACTGAAACCAAGCAGAGGGTTGCCCTGGGTGGGGGACAAAGGAGAGGAAGACAGGGTTGGAGCCCACTGGGGGTGAGGGGGGGAAGAGGACGGAGGTAAAATAATGGGTCAAATTGAGGCAGAAGAGTGAAATAATCAGTGTATGGGGGAGAAGAGGAGAAAGAAATGAAGCTCAGGAATTGCTGAGGGTGTTGGGAGGAGGGCAGGGAGAAGAGATCATGGAGGAGAGAGAAAAGAACCAATTGCAAAGTGATCCGAGGATCAGGGCAAAAGCCGAGTTGTAACTCACAGCTCTGATGTGACCCACCCCTCAGAAATGGGCTCAGGGGACCATTCCATTTGGTTTGTAAAGTCACATATTTAGGGAGGAAGCAGCCAACTGCCAAACTGAACCTTCGATATATTCAAGAAGCTAAAGCAACACCCCCCCCCAAATCAACTTAAGCATACTCTTAATAAAGCATTTCACATGCTCTTCAAAGTCCTGGCCAAATTTCCCATAGGGAACTGCATTCCACCCATCTAAAATCCTCCGGGTAGCTACAATGGGATACTATATTATCTCCTGTGCTGAATTGCTGGGTAGACAATTGAGTGTAGGTAGACATATTAAGTTTGTACACCTACTAATTGAGTGGTTACTTAGTTCCTTCCTACCCCAATCATTTCCAGAGGCAGCCCTGCCATCATAGATAAGATTATCACTGACACAATGAATGCAGTTAGAGAGAGAGATGCAGTTTTGTGTTAACTGATGACCAAACAAAAAACAAAACTAACCTGCCAGTTGTCATCAGAAACTAAACCTTACCAACAAAAAGTGCACTTGGTTCTATACATGGACAACATCTCTCTGCCTGTACCTATATGTTATTAACCACCAAAGGTGGGCACAGTCCAGTACTAAGCAAAGCAAACTGAGCCCTGTATAAAGAAAAGGAGTACTTGTGGCACCTTAGAGACTAACCAAGATGTGAGTCTCCTCACAGACTGGTGTAAATCAAGAGTAATTCAAATGGTGTTACACTGGGGTAAAACTGGTGTGGGTGGAGAATCATAGTCCATAGCTTGGTATATGGAGGCAGCTGCTGCTAACGAACCCCAATCATCATTTCAGTCCACACTGGGTAGTCAGTCACTGAGAAGGGAGATGTGTATAAGGACCCCAAAGCACTAGCGTTATTAGGGAATTAGGGGGTCCCTAGTGCCTTAAGGCTTCCTTCCCACGTTACAAACTGCTACTATTACCCAGCAGCAATGCTGTCTGCTTGTTTGCAGAAGGGGCTGGGAGTCGGGCTCGACTCCCCGCTCTGCCACTGGCCCTGGGCGAGTCGCTCCACCGCTCCGCACCTCAGTTTCCCCTTCTGCGAGAGCGGGGTGAGGACACTCACCTGGGCGCGGGGGGAGCGCAGGCTGGCACGGGGCTGTGGCGATCCCAAGGGCGAGTCCAGGGCTGCGGGGCGCCGCCGTCCCCAACAACGCACAGCACCAGCCTGGGACCTCGAGCCCCCAGTCAGTCAGTCCCCGCGGGGGCAGAGCCCAGGGCCGGGAGGGGGCCCCGGGACTCACCAGCCCCGCAAGCATCCCGCTCCTCGGGGACCCCCCAGCCCGCGGCGGGACTGCGGCACCCACCTTGGCCCCCGCGCTCCGCGGGCCCCTGTCCCCGGCGCGGGCTGGGGGAAGCGGGACGAGCCCAGCGAGGGTCGGCACGGCAGAGGGAGAACGGCTGGCAGGCAGGATCTGGAGGCCCCGCAGCCCTCCCTGGGACTTGTAGTTCTCAGGATGCCAGGTCTCCAGCCAGGCCACTGGAGCGGGGAACTACAACTCCCAGCAGGCCCCGGGGCAGAGCCGGCAACTCGCCAGCTGGTGTTAAAGGAGACGCAGGCTGTTATTATTGCCTCTGAGCCGCTCCAGCAGCAGCGCCAGAGGCTGCGCGTGGGGTAAGGGCTGGTTGCTGCAGCAGCCCTGGCGCTGTGGACTCTGCTGCAGCCGCCGCCGCCGCCTCCCCTTCTTTGCGGATCGTTTGCGGTGCAGCAAGGTATTTATTTGCACGGCAGGCAGGGCTGCGGAGGGTGGGGTAATAAGGATGCTGAGAAATATTTCGACTGTGGCGTTGGAAGGGTGGGCGAGCGCGCGCGTGTGTGTGTTTTCTAATGATCGCCTCGCATGGCACTGACAGTAGGCAAGGCAGCAGCCAGCTTGAAGTGGGTGGCTAACTTGGGCAAAGGTTTTCATCAGGACAAAGCTTGGGGGGCGGAAGAGGTTGTCTTGCATCCTTTGAGCGAAAGGGGATTGTGGGGAGAGAGGGAGATGGGTGATAGTCCCATTCTGTGGCGTGACACTGGACTCTCTAATACAGTATGTGACAAGTACCCCCTAATGAGCTCTGTAACAACAGCATTATTGGTCCAGATCCAATCTATACTCAGGCTGAACTCTCCTTGACTTTGATAGGAGTTTTGGTGGAGAAATAAAAGCAGGCGTTGGCAAGTAATTTGTTTGCCAGTTTATGAAGGATCTCAAAATGCTTTATGAATTTAGGGATGTACGATGGTTTGTATGTAAACATCTGGAGCCTTTGTAGAGTCCTTTGGGAGAGATGAAGTGAGCTGTAGCTCACGAAAGCTTATGCTCAAATAAATTGGTTAGTCTCTAAGGTGCCACAAGTACTCCTTTTCTTTTTGTGAGAGATAGAAAAGGCCAAATAGACCATCAGATCTACCACTTTGCCAGGGCTGAAGCTAAAGGGATGTATCAAATATTAATCTGTTATTTTATGTTTTGTCATAGGGGGAACATGATATAGATCTTTTCTGTAGTCTTTATAAAGTTGGCTATGGTCTCCATGTGCACATCTGACTTCTATTGTGAGAGAGAACTCCAGGGTTTGTGTAGGATGGAGGTGAATCTGGGTCTAAAATGAATGACGTAAGTCATTGTTATAAATGCACAGTTTACAGGTGTGTCTCCTCCTCTCAGCCAAAACATTGGAGGCACCTACATCTTAGAGTTTTATACAGATAAAGGAAGACAGAGATTTTAAAGGAAAGGAGAGATGTTTGGTCTATAAATACCTTAAAGAAACGACAAGCATGACAAAGGGGAATTATTTATATTCTCCAAGGACAGTAACAGAGGGCATGTCAGTGTGAAGGTCAGGGCACAGTAAGGCAGCATCCAGTGACACAAAGGGGTCCTGGGCACGGCAGCCAATCAGAGCAGTTTGATTGGTGCCACTGTTTTGCTTGGATGGGAGGCAAATTATGACTTGGGAATCAAAGGAAAATTAGCCTATCTGGGTGATGTGAGAAAGAGAGACTATGCCAGGAAAGCATAGTCGAGTGGTTAGAGCACGTTCTGTTCTATATTCTCTACTCAGCCACTGATTTTCTCTGAGACCTTGGGCAAGTCACTTTTGTGCTTTAGTTTTCCTATCTGTAAAATGGGATAATAATCTCTCATAGGGGTTTTGGGAAACTAACTCCATCAACATTTGTAATGGTCCTTTATGAAAAGGTGTGTAAATGCAGAATATTATGTATTATGCGGGGGTTAAACTGAGAGGACATATCCAGGGAGCGAGAGGATGAAATGCTGGTGGATCTGCGCTTTATTTAGTGTTATCACACCCATGTGGATGAAAGAAAAAGTTTCAGCTAGATGTTAGAACAAAGTTCATAACATCAAGAACTGTAAAGCAATGGGCTAGACTCCAGGTGAGTCACAGTATCAAGGATTCATGGCACCATCACTGCAGAGATGTGAGGACAGGTTAGCTAAAACATTAGTGGGCCTAATGTAGAGTGAGGTCCCGCAAAATGTTGAAAGTCAGCATGGATGATAATAATGATGTAACAAATCTCTGACCACCAGGGCCTTTACAATGGCTACTGTGCTGCTGCCCCTGGCATTTTTGGAACTTCATGGCACTCAGAGGCTCCTGCTCCTAAAGCTGCATACCCCTGTCGCTAAAAGAAAATCTCCACCAGCTCTTTGCAGTATAGGGCTTATGCTGCACAAGAGCCATTCTCATATAATGCAGCAGAGGGCAGTAAAACACATAAACAATAGCCAGTTCACCACAGCAGTTAGCACTTCAATAGGGCCTTTCATCCAAGGATCTCAAAGAGCTTTGCAAACCTGGATTAATTAAGCCTAGCACCCTGTAAAATAGGTAAAGGCTATATAGGTATTATTTTGCCACCCCACCCCTCCCACTTGAAATGCAGCCATTGTTTGGCATACAACTTTTTAACAGTGCCTGTCATCTCTACACAGACGTTTAGGATGGCAAGTGAGGAATATTGCTGTATCCAACTGAAATTCAAAGGTGAATTTAACAAGGCAGAATGTAATTACATGGGGCAGAATCTGTCCTCTTCTTTTATGTAAAACTACCACTGGATCTTTAATGGCCAGGAACATCAGTTTTATGTCTCACCCAAAGGGTGACCCAGCTGGTCTCTTATAGGCTTACTAACGCTGACTTTCAGCTCAGAAATCTCATAATAATGGGCCTGATTTTCCACCCTGTTTACAACACTTTATGCTGGTCAACGCCCATGAAGTTAATGCATAAAACTTGTGTAGCAAGATGGCTCATCCAGGTTAATTCAGTGGGTCTCAGGGTGGAAAAAAAATCATGATTTAAAAAAATCAATTTTTTAACATTTAAATTCAGGTTTATTTTTAAAAAATCTAATTGAAATTGACAACCTATGTTAAGGTCTAGGCTTATTATATCTATTAAAATCATTTACGTTAAATACAAAAAATAATATTAAGAAGTACATGTTTGCTGCCAACATTTAAAGAAAGGCAGACCACAGAAACGGTGGCAGCCACTAGCTAAGCACCTGGAAGCAGAGTTAGCTGAAGTATGAACCCAGCTTTTCACAGCAGTAGCATCTTCTGCAGTTGCAGAGAGAATATTTTCTTAATTTAATTTTATTCAACTAGTTCAGATTAATATCTAGTTCATTCAAAGTTAAGAAACTTACTGGAAGTTGAGAAAGAAAGCAAGCTCATTTTCTTTTCCATTCTATGAATAAAAACTAGGTAGGGGCGAGAGGATGAGATTTACTAGTTCTAAAATCTTGAAGGACTTGGTGGTCAGGGATAATCAGTTCAATTCACTACGTAGAGGTAAAGTTCATTTGTTTAATAAATCAGTTAGTTTTAAATGCCTAATGTGTTATGATAAACTTTTTTCTCTGATGTATCCAGCACATTTAAGATAATTTTATTTAATAAAAAAATTAAATGCTGTTGTGACCCAAAGTGCCTAAGGTAGCCCACAATGAAAATGTCAAGGTCAAGGCAGGCTACAAAAAGCAGAGCAGATTCTCCCAAAACTGGTGGTTAACACTGTAGTTAGATTCACCAACCAGTCACAAATTGTGCACTTGATCCCCCACACTGGTTATCAAGAAGCTTGAAAAAAAGAAATCACACAGCCCCCTTTATTGCATTCCAGTCTCTGGCTCTCAATCAGCAAAAAGGTCCAGTAAAATGAGAAGTTATTTAAAACTCTGTTCAATATACAAAACATTCTTCTGATCCCCAAAGGGCCAGCCACATAACCAAATCAATACTAGTTTGGATCTTACCCAAAATACCACACTGCCAACCAAGCCTTAGTATCTAAAACTAAAGGTTTTATTATAAAAGAAAAGAAAGAGAAGAGAGCTGTGAAATGATCAAAGCAATCAGATACATACATGTGACTTCAGAGTCCATATATCAGGTTCTTAGCAGCATTGTGAGATTGTTGACTTGTAAAGTCCCTCTGGAACACATCCAAACCTTGGATGGGTCTATCATTCCTTTGTTCAGAGCTTCAGTTTGTAGAGAAGTTACTCCAGAGGTGAGAAGAAGGATTGAAGAAAAATGGAAAAGATACAGCTCCCTTTTTATATTGTTAGCCATGTGGCTTGTACATCCTCTGTCCCAAACACAAGCTCACAGCACATGAGTATGGGAAAGCACTTAGAGTAGTCCCCTGTCCAGAGGCATCTCCCTACATGTCCTGCTGACTCATAGACTGTTAAGGAAAAGTTAGCACATGTGACTCCATTTTGGTTTGGGGCCCACCATTGTCTAAAAGCAAGCACATCATGCACCAGGAGGAGTGTTCCTTAGATACTGCATTCCTGTGAAAATCCTCCTCAATGTCTCCAGCCTGTCTTGAGTCCTGGTATCTGTTCTTTGTCAGTCCCTAAACTCCCTATCTCCTGGCCTTTGATGTGAGGCCTCCCATCCTGATAATAAAAGTTACTGATGCATGGCTTTAGGACCATGCTGTGTAATTAACATACTAGTTTAGCATGAGGAATGCACCAAGCAGGGATACGTGGTAGATAAGAAAAGGGTTTGTTTACTGGCTAAGGTTTCCGATGCACGAGGGCAACATGCTTTGCTAAAAAGTATATAACCTTTGTATAATCTGTATTCGGGGTCCCCTCCTGGCTAGCAGGGGGGCACCACACTTGAGCGTAATAAACTTGGTGTTTTTTGGGAACTCGGCAGTTGTGGACTTTGTTTATGTGCCTCAGCCTAGATTCGAATTGTGCGTGACCTACCAGGTGTAATTTGTAGCATTTGTGTGCGTGTCCTACCAGGTGTAATTCGTAGCATTTGTGTGCGTGTCCTACCAGGTGTAATTCGTAGCATTTGTGTGCGTGTCCTACCAGGTGTAATTCGTAGCATTTGTGTGCGTGTCCTATCAGGTATAATTCGTAACAAGACATAGCCTGTGGCAGGGTGGATTTGATTTAAATCAAATTGATTTAAATCATGATTTAAATTACTAGTCAGGAAGACTCGATTTAATCATGGATTTCTACATAAAAGTGCATTCTTGTTGGTTGTTATAACCTTAATACATATTCTTCACAACTCAGAGATAGATGTAGGTTTCATTTTTAGAAGGTACACACTACACATTTTTAAAGTGATTTATTTTGAAAACTTTTCAGATTCGTTTTACATCTATATCAGAAAATGAATGATTGTTTGGTTATTTCGTTTACCAAAGGTAATTGAAGCAGATATTTATGAAGTCATTGGGAGATGAACTATCTCTAATTCAACAGGTTAATCATTAATATTTGGAGGATTTTCTTGCCATGCTGTATTAGGAGGAGAACATCACCAGACAGACATTTAAATTGTTTTATTTAACTAAAACAACAACGTTATGTATTCTGGATTTCTTTCTTCAACAGGAAAACATATAATATTTTAACAAAACAAGCATATGCATTTTTGAATTTAGTTAAACATTCAAGTTTTTTAAAATCAGGTTTGTTTTTGTTAAAATTGTTTTTAACTAAAGCAGTTAAATGAAATATTAAAAAAAAATTAAATCGACTATGTCAGCCAGGTCAACATGAGAAACTTAAAATATTGGCTTCTGCAGGTAACTCAGTCGTCTTCACCTTCATTTTCCTGTTTGTTCATAATCTGGAAAAGAAAAACAAGCTTTCCTGCTTTTTCAGGTCCCAAACAATTTCTCAATTTGGAATGAATTAGTCCAAAGGAAGAAAATATTCTTTCTACACCAGCAGAAGAAGCTACTGCTGTTAAAAGTGAGATTATCACTTCAACAGTCTCTGAATCCAAGCGCTTAAGTGACTTCCACCAGTTCACTGGTGTGACTTTCTTTAAAACATCATCAGCAAACATATTTCTTGAATGGTCCACCCTTAGTTCTGAAGTATATTATAGTTGGCATTATGGAGGGATGATTGCCGGATGTCCATATCATAGCCAGCTCCTCTTCTTCAGCAGTTAAAGTTTGACCCTAGTACCGAGTATTGAGAATATTTGCAAGAAAATGAGCTGGAGATAGTGCTTGTCCCACTTGTTTTTTTAATGCTTGTAATTTAACTCTGTCATTGCATATTTCTCTTTTTAAGATCTCACTCAGTTCCTTCCAAATTTCAACAGCATCGTCAATAAAACAGCTCTTTCCCTGCATTTTGTTCAAGGCTACAGAAATAGGTTTCAGGGTCCTCAGCATGTGCTCAACATTCTCTTCAGCCCAATGTTGAGAACTTTGGCTGTGACAGTGCCATCTATTTATTTTTTCATGATTTTGCTCACAAACTGTCATCAGATTAGGCCAGTTCTTGATATAGTGCTCAAAACCGTCCACTGCTGCGTTCCATCGCACGTCTTGTGGGAGAGTTAGCTTGGTTCCTCCCACTTTTTTCAGAGCAGCTGCTGCGAAGTGGTTGTTATGGAAGTATTTTGCAATTTCAACAACATTTCTGGAACACTGAAGTCTTTGGCTAGGAGGTGCATCAAATGAGCACTGCAACCATATATTATTAGTTTGGGACTCTCTTCGCTTTCTTCTAAATACTTTCTTCTCATCTTGGATGCATTTGTAACCAAGCTGCATACTAGACATTTGCATTTTTTTTCACAGTTTGTTATAGCTTTTACTGCTACTTCTTGTAAGTATTCTGCTGTGTGTGCATTTCCTGATGTATCAATTGTTTCTGTAAGGAAGACATTCCCTTCTTCTGTTGTCACACAAGCATATACAACAGGATCATTGTGGACATTGCTCCACCCATCAAGACTCAGGTTAACAATTTCACCCTCTAGAACAGCGGTTCTTAACCTGGGGTGCACACACCCCCTGGGGGTGCGAGACATGCCAGATTTTTTTAGAAGGTAAATCATAGAAAACACAAATTAAGCACAGGCACTTAAGTACAACTACTTTGTTTCATCAAACCTATATACTTATTAACATTATACATTTTGAAATGATTACTGTAATATACAAACAGGTTTAAAGAACTGACCTACTTCAACGATTTTTGATAAGGGGTGTGAGAACATATTTTGATTATTGATAAGGGGTGCGAGGACATATTTTGAGAACCAGAGGTGTGCAGGCTGCAGTAAAGGTTAAGAACCACTGCTCTAGACCTTTTGCACACTGCTCATTTTCTCTTTCAACACTTTATTTAGCAATTTGCCTGTGACATCTGCTCTGTTGGGTGGACTGTATCCTGATCTTAATGACTGAACCATGTTAATGAAGTGTGGGTTCTCAATCATACGGAAAGGACAGTTTGTTGCATAAACAAACAGGGAAATTTTTTCATCAATTACCTCTTTTTGTAATCTGGTGGTTCTTATCACAAACTTATCTATGGTTGTTTTTGGATGATTGGAGTTTTTTTTTCCTTTTTGCTACAGGTGATATACTGTGGCTATGTGACATACATGATGTGACTGAAACACTATCATTGGCGGATAACTCTGAAACTATAGAAAATAATGGTGATCTTGAAAGTGGATAGTCTTCAGAATTCTGTATGTTGAGGACGGATTCTCCTAAACAAAATAAGTCAATGCAGTTATTTAATTATTATTACCATACTGCTCATTTAGTATTACTCATTGCATTCACTGACACTCTGTACTACTTTAAAGGTGAAATTGTAAAAGGAAGATCTGCCTATTTCAGCTATTTATTTTTTATCACAACTGTATCTAAAATGATAGCACCATAGAGTAACAACTATGTTTTTTGCTCAAACATGAGAATTCAAGAATAGTCAAGAAGGAAGACAGGCAGTCCTTAAGAAAGAAGTATGAAATAAAAAAAAGTTTACCAACCTGAAGATCCTGAATGTTCAGACATGTTCCTTTCATCATCTTCAACGCAGCTTCCTCCTGAGAAGGAACGCTTCTCCTGATGTTGTTTAATTCTGGCAACCAGGCCTTGTATTTCTTTGTTGCACTGTTTGCATTTTGTGCGCATGCCTGTCTTACCCACAGGTAGAGGAACTTCATTAAAATATTCCCAAACTGGGTCTCTTTTACGGCCTGTTGCCATTATAGGTTTTCCCTTCTAGTGAGAGAATGGTATGGTAGATCTCAAACCAATGAAGACTACACTCAGAAAGACCTCAAGGCTTCTGGAATATGCTGCTCAAACAGTTTCACTTTTGTTTGTACTGCCTGTCCCTCCCTTCTCACATTTATCTCCAGACTTCTTCTCCTGTCCAGCTATTCCGCCCCCAACAATTTTCTATTCATTGAACTTTTTGAAACTTTGCACTTTTAGAGAGAGGTAGGGGATTGACTCTGTGTACACAAATTTGCAGAGGGAAAATAGGAGTGAGGTCTGTTATTTCTCCTCTCTATGTTATGTATTTATTTAAAAACATTTTTGCTGTTAACAAGCATGTTATCTCTGGAGATATAAATCCATAGTTTGAGAACTGCAAAACTAAGCATCTCTGATGATATCTTCTAGACTGAGCACTGAGTCCCATTGGGTAGATAGAAGATTAACCTAAATAGTCTATACAGAAGCCCCTGGAATCCCATAAGATTGGGTTCCTAATCCATGAACTATTGGAACTCATTTACAACACTTTTCTTAAACATTACATGAATATATTGTCTCATACTAAAGAATTAGAATTTATAATCCCTATTCCATGATGAGATATCTTTGAGCTATAAAGTATCGTAATTAAAACTATCTTTAGATAGGTTTTTTCCTCAAAAAGCATTTTATCAAAAAAATCTGATGTAAATTAAAAAATCCAATTTTTATCCACCCTGGCCCGTGGCTTCTCTCAATGGGTTCATTGTACAGCTGATTGCCCTTGATGGGTAGGACCCTACCAAATTCATGGCTGTGAAAAAAGGGTCACGGACCGTGAAATCTAGTCTCCCTTGTGAAATCTGCTCTCGTCCATGAAATCTGGCTATTGTAGGAGGGGGTCAAGGTGTTGCCATCCTTACTTCTGTGCTGCCTTCAGAGCTGGATGGCCAAAGAGCGGAAAGGTGCAGCTGCTGGCCGTGCGCCCAGCTTTGAAGGCAGTGTCACCACCAGCAGCAGCACAGACGTGAGGGTGGCATCATATGGGAGGAGTCATCACTTTTTGCAGGGAGTAGGGCCGGCCTTAATGGTGGGTGATGTGGGCAACCACTCAGGGCGCTGTGGTCATGCCACCCCGCCCCCCAGCCCGCCCAAGGCCCCTTAACCTCCCAGTGCTGGGCCCAGAACTGGGGAGGGCCAGAGCTGGGACACCCCAGCCAGGACCTCCTAACTGGTGTTGGGCTCCAGCTGCTAGTTCCGGCTGGGCTGAGGAGGAACGGGATTCCTCTTTTTCTGCAAGGGCCACTCCCAGGGCCAGGTCAGACACACTTCCAGGAACCTCCCCCGGCTGCAGGAAGCTCTGTAGCTGCTGGTTGGGAGCCCAGCTCTGAAGGCAATGCCACCACTACCAGCAGCACAGAAGTAAGGGTGACAATTCCGCATCTCCCCTACAGTAGCCTTGCGACCACCCCCTACAACCCACTTTTGGATAGGACCCACATGGTTACAACATCGTGAAATTTAAGATTTTAAAATTATAGAATCATAGAATATCAGGGTTGGAAGGGACCTCAGGAGGTCATCTAGTCCAACCCCCTGCTCAAAGCAGGACCAATCCCCAACTAAATCATCCCAGCCAGGGCTTTGTCAAGCCTGACCTTAAAAACTTCTAAGGAAGGAGATTCCACCACCTCCCTAGGTAACACATTCCAGTGTTTCACCACCCTCCTAGTGAAAAAGTTTTTCCTAATATCCAACCTAAACCTCCCGCACTGCAACTTGAGACCATTACTCCTCGTTCTGTCATCTGCTACCACTGAGAACAGTCTAGATCCATCCTCTTTGGAACCCCCTTTCAGGTAGTTGAAAGCAGCTATCAAATCCCCCCTCATTCTTCTCTTCCGCAGACTAAACAATCCCAGTTCCCTCAGCCTCTCCTCATAAGTTGTGTTCCAGTCCCCTAATTGTTTTTGTTGCCCTCCGCTGGATGTTTTCCAATTTTTCCACATCCTTCTTGTAGTGTGGGGCCCAAAACTGGACACAGTACTCCAGATGAGGCCTCACCAATGTCGAACAGAGGGGAACGATCACGTCCTTCGATCTGCTGGCAATGCCCCTACTTATACATCTCAAAATGCCATTGGCCTTCTTGGCAACAAGGGCACACTGTTGACTCATATCCATCTTCTTGTCCACTGTAATCCCTAGGTCCTTTTCTGCAGAACTGCTGCCGAGCCATTCGGTCCCTAGTCTGTAGCGGTGCATTGGATTCTTCCATCCTAAGTGCAGGACTCTGCACTTGTCCTTGTTGAACCTCATCAAATTTCTTTTGGCCCAATCTTCTATTTTGTCTAGGTCCCTCTGTATCTTATCCCTACCCTCCAGCGTATCTACCTCTCCTCCCAGTTTAGTGTCATCTGCAAACTTGCTGAGGGTGCAATCCACACCATCCTCCAGATCATTTATGAAGATATTGAACGAAACCGGCCCGAGGACCGACCCTTGGGGCACTCCGCTTGATACCGGCTGCCAACTAGACATGGAGCCATTGATCAGTACCTGTTGAGCCCGACAATCTAGCCAACTTTCTGTTCACCTTATAGTCCATTCATCCAGCCCATACTTCTTTAACTTGCTGGCAAAAATACTGTGGGAGGTTTTCTTCCCCCGTCCCTCCCCCCCCACTCTCCTGCTGGTAGTAGCTCATCTTAAGTGATCACTCTCCTTACAATGTGTATGCTAACACCCATTTTTTCATGTTCTGTGTATATATAAATCTCCTCACTGTATTTTCCACTGAATGCATCCGATGAAATGAGCTGTAGTTCGTGAAAGCTTATGCTCAAATAAATTGGTTAGTCTCTAAGGTGCCACTAGTACTCCTTTTCTTTTTTGCGAATACAGATTAAGACGGCTGCTACTCGGAAACCTGTGGGAGACCGTGTCAAAAGCTTTGCTAAAGTCAAGGAACAACACATCCACTGCTTTCCCCTCATCCACACAGCCAGTTATGTCGTCATAGAAGGCAATTAGATTAGTCAGGCATGACTTGCCCTTGGTGAATCCATGCTGACTGTTTCTGATCACTTTCCTCTCCTCTAAGTGCTTCAGAATTGATTCCTTAAGGACCCGCTCCATGATTTTTCCAGGGACTGAGGTGAGGCTGACTTGCCTGTAGTTCTCAGGATCTTCCTTCTTCCCTTTTTTAAAGATGGGCACTACATTAGCATTTTTCCAGTCGCCTGGGACTTCCCCCGATCGCCATGAGTTTTCAAAAATAATGGCCAATGGCTCTGCGATCACATCCGCCAAACTCTCGGATGCAGCGCATCCGGCCCCATGGACTTGTGCTCGTCCAGCTTTTCTAAATAGTCCCGAACCACTTCTTTCTCCACAGAGGGCTGGTCACCTCCTCCCCATGCTGTGCTGCCCAGTGCAGTAGTCTGGGAGCTGACCTTGTTCGTGAAGATAGAGGCAAAAAAAGCATTGAGTACATTAGCTTTTTCCACATCCTCTGTCACTAGGTTGCCTCCCTAATTCAGTAAGGAGCCCACACTTTCCTTGACTTTTCTTCTTGTTGCTAACATACCTGAAGAAACCCTTCTTGTTACTCTTAACATCCCTTGCTAGTTGCAACTCCAGGTGTTATTTGGCCTTCCTGATTTCACTCCTGCATGCCCGAGCAATATTTTTATACTCTTCCCTGGTCATTTGTCCAATCTTCCACTTCTTGTAAGCTTCTTTTTTGTGTTTAAGATCAGCAAGGATTTCACTGTTAAGCCAAGCTGGTTGCCTGCCATATTTACTATTCTTTCTACACATCGGGATGGTTTGTCCCTGTCACCTCAATAAGGATTCTTTAAAATACAGCCAACTCTCCTGGATTCCTTTCCCCCTCATGTTATTCTCCCAGGGGATCCTGCCCATCAGTTCCCTGAGGGTTGGAATTTTCAAAGGTGCCTAAGGAAGGTAGGTGCCTCTCTTTGATTCTTGCTTGCTGTTTGGCTGCACTCATGAACGTTATGATGGTGAAATTTACCAAAAGGGACCATGAATTTGGTAAGAACCTATTGATGGGCCATGAAGCAGGCTGGATAGTGTTGATGCCAATCTGCCTGACGGTGTCACCCAGATACACACCACAAGTTTGAGATATCAATATATCACACATATTTATAACTCACAATAAAAAGATGATACATACATATAAATAAACTTATCATATTTAGCATATCATAACTTTTCCACTGATACCTTACATGGCATATCTTGTATGACTCATTGCAATTTTGTAATGTTGTTATCCATAACATTATAAATGGTGACTCATAGTCCATACAGCGTTACAGCTGTTTTTGTGCATTTTTAATTGAATTTGAATTTCTATTCAAGTAGCACTTGACACAGATTGCAAGTAAAAAATGAATAATTTAGTAAATAAGACATGCATCTTTCACCATTTTCTAACATAATAAAAATTTAAATATTAAAAAATTGCTTAAATAAATGTACCGATATAATGTATCCTCCTGGCTAGCAAAAAATTTAGTGTAAAGGGTACATTTAGTTGCAATTCAACATGTTTTAATGATTATAAGCTAGAGAGAATCAACCTCCTTGATGTTTATTCTGTGATTTTTGAGAGCAATCATATCCCCATTCAGCTTTCGTTTTGCTAGGCTAAAGTACACCTGCAAAATACAATTAAAAGTGATTATTTATATCAAGGTTTCCTGCTTGCTGATGTAAATCACTTTGATTAAAATCAATCCACCTGATGAGTCTTAGGGTCAAGGCACTGGATCAAAACTCAAAAGATCTGGAGTCAATTCCTGACTCTGCAGCAGACTGTCTGTATGACCAGGGCCAAATCACTTCATCTTGCTGTTTCCGATCTGTGTAACAGGGATAATGATATTTCTGTTGTTTGTTTGTCCATTTAGAGTGCAAGTTCTTTGGGGTAGGAACTTTCCTTTCCTTTGTGTGTAAACAGTTCCTAGCACAATGGGGCAGGGGCAATGCGCAGAGCTCCCTTCGCCATCCCTCCACCTAGGAGCTGGAGGGACATGTCACTGCTTCTGGGACCCAGGTGGAGCCAGGCAGGGAGCCTGCCAGCCCCGCTGTGCCACCAACCGGACTTTTAACAGCCTGGTCAGTGATGCTGAGCGGAGCTGCCAGGCAGGGGACTGGTGTGCGGGAGGGTGTGAGGGCTCTGGCTGGGGGAGCGGACACCTGGCAATCCTAGTCATAACCTTGTTATATTTGAAGTAGGAGAGCTGATACTGAACCACTGCAAAGTGGTCTAAGGAAACTTTACTGAAAAGCTACTGCTAGAAAGTGGGGGATGGGATGAATATATTTAAAAACAGCCGGAGGGACTTCAATTGAAATTAATCCCAGTTAAAGACACACTGCCATTGTGAAAAATCATACACTGAGAGAATCCCTTACCTACGTTAAAAAGATCACCTTGGGTTATTAAAAATAAAGCTGGTCTGGGGTGGGGGGGCGGGTGGGCGGTGAGGCTGGGCAAAGAATCCAAGCTTCCTGTTCACCATTGATGCTGGTTAGTTACATTATTTTGTTGACAGTCAATTTACCTTTCTAGTTCTGGCATACTTTTAAAGTGCAGAGGTGCAGTATTTGTATGTGTCCAGTACTGCAGAGACACATTTTAAGGTAAACAAAGTACATATTTTAAATGTTGGTGAAAACATGTCTATTCATATTAGCTTTCATATAAACCCTACGTTTAGGTCCTAAACCAGGGGTGGGCAAACTGTGGCCTGGGAGCCTCATCCAGCCCTCCAGACATTTTAATCCGGCCCTTGAGCTCCTGCCGGGGAGCGGGGTCCACGGCTTGCCCCGCTCTGACACTCCAGGCGGGGAGTGGGGTCAGGGGCTTGACTTGCTCTGCGTGGCTCTTGGAAGCAGCGGCATGTCCCCCCTCCAGCTCCTAGATGTAGGAGCATCCAGGGGGCTCCGCACGCTGGAGGAACTGCAGCCAATGGGAGCTACAGGGGTGGCGTCTGCAGACAGGGCAGTGCTCAGAGGGGGAACATGCCACTGCTTCTGGGAGCTGCTTGAGGTAAGCATCACCTGGAGCCTGCACCCCTGACCCCGAACCCCGCCCCAGCCCTGATCCCCCTCCTGCCCTCTGAACCCCTCGGTCCCATCCTGGAGCACCCTCCTGCACCTCCAACCCCACCCCAGAGCCTGCACCTCCAGTCGGAGCCCGAACCCCCTGCTGAACCCCAACCCCCAATTTCATGAGAATTCATGGCCTGCCATACAATTTCCATACCTAGATGTTGCCCTAGGGCCAAAAATTTTGCGCACTCCTGTCCTAAACTATGCCCCTTAACAATCTTTTTTTTTTAAGGGGGCAGATGTGGGAGTACAACAGACCCCAGTGTGGCTAAATGGGAACATAGGTCTCCAAGCTGCATGGTGCTGAGTGCCCTCAACTCCTACTGATGTCAGAGAAAGTTCAGTGTTTTGCATCTCCCAGGAGTCCCTGAGTAAAGGCTGCATAAAATGTTTAGAATTTGGCTTGCGATCATCTTGATTTGGAGATACATAATTAAACAACATTTCAGGAGCATGTTGGCTGGAGAGATACAGTACAAGGGCTGGAATTTTCAAAGGTGCCTAAGGGAGGTAGGTGCCTCTCTTTGATTCTTGCTTGCTGTTTGGCTGCACTCATGGATGTTCTTGGCTTTTGATCATGCCACCATAAAGAGGGTGGATGGCCAGAGGCATAATTTAGAGCCACCTGGGGCAGACATCTTATAAATCTGTTTTCCAGGCTTTAGTACAGTGAGTTCTGGGGAGAGCAGGAAGCACAGAAAACATTTTGCAGGCCGTGCCTACCTCGTCCATGGAACATTCTCTATGCACGTCACACCTGTGCTGCTCTTTGCACATTGCCGCTCGCCT